TTACAAGTTGAGCCTCTTGCAAGCAATGAGGCATGAATCCCTAGTGAAGAAGTCAAGGATAGCATGATTTTAATCTTTATGATCCCTTGATTGTCTCCTAAATTGTTTCCTATTTTAATGGTCCTTGGATTTGACTTCCTTTCTTAAGGAGCAAGATTAGTCGTAATTTTCTATTTTAAGTCTAGTCAAAGATTAAGATTAATTATATTATTAATTTTTAAGTTTTGTAATCTCATAATTTTAGGATCACATCTCCTAAATTAATGTGGCTGAATATTTTCTCATTATTTTATATTATTTCTCCTTTTAGTATTAGGAAATTAGGGTTTTAATTTTAAGAAATAATCTGCTCTATGAGCCTATATAAATTAGATATGCTCTCTTTGTAAACGAAAGAGAAGTTGAATGAAATTATTCATTTTAGAGTTTATAACTCTTGTGAGCCTCAGTGCTTTGTGGTGGCATCCCGTGTAGAATAAACGTGATTAAGAGCATGATCAACTCTTGTGGTGTCTTCGAAGGTTGAGGTTTCTAGAGGTAGGTGCTCTAGAGAATCTTATTCTTAATCATTATCCCATTTTTTATTTCTTTTCTTTCTTTATAGTTGTCATAAATTTCATCCCTTTCTTTTTGTTCTTGTGTTTTTTGTGTTTCAGGGTTTTGTCCTTAAACTAGCACGATGTTGTTCCGCATCCCCTATCATATTACCTATTACTTGTTCTTTTCATTTTTTTAAAAGCAATTACTTGTTTTTTTTAAAGGCAAATGCTCCAAATTAAAACTATTAACCGATTAGTTCCTTATTAAGATTTAAGAGTGACATTTTGGCTCAAAGTGTTGTGTGTGTGTGTGTGTGTGTGTTAGACACACAAAAGATTAAGGATGAAGGTAAATAATTCCCTAGCAAGTTTAAATTTCTTTTTTTCTTTGCCCTGCGATGGCACTCAATATTACTTATTTGTACAATGACATGGATATTGAAATTTAGAAAAGTTTTTTTCCTCCCCATGCTCACTCTTCCACATAAGCTAATCGATAAATAAAGAGCAAAATGTTCCAAAAACACTTATTTTATTTTTTATTTATTATATTAATATATCAATGATAGTTTGATAGCTAAATGGAGAGTTACATACTTGTATGAATTAGGCACAAAATTGTTGCTTTAATGTGAAAATATTCTTTTGCTGTGAACAATTTGGACAAAAACAGTGAAAAGATATCATATTTTAATTTAAAAATTTAAAATTCAAGTTTATAGATTTTTTTGTTTTATTATATATATATATTAGTTCAATTTCATTTCATCGAAAGTAAAACTTTTCACATTGGTTTAGATATACACTTAACTTAATAATCTTAATAATGAAAAACCTTTTCCCGTTCTACCAAGAGTGTCTTCAACAATAAAAATTAATCTCAATAAACCATTCTTAATTAAGTTTTCTCTCTCTCTCTCTATAAGAATTTGAAAACAGTAATATATATATATATATAATTCGTAGTCATCACAAGGGGGCTAAAATTGAAAGACATGTAATAAAGTTTGCATAAATTTCTTAAGAGTGAAACATATAAAAAAGAATTTGAAAACTCATGGGAGAGGGTCATGGCCAACCTCCACTGCTACATAAAGTTTGTGAATCGAACCCTACTTCTCGATCGCATCACTCACATCAGCTAGAGTTTTAGCGACTAGCAACTTAAAGATTCTCATGGCTAGATTTCAGCTTTTTGATGTGAATTAATATTAATATCGATTAATCAAATAGTTGATTATGTGGATTCATATCACTGTGTAATATAAAATTCACAGGAGGATGAATGGCTTTTATAATTTAAAAGCATTAGATGGTTTTCCTTCAACCTAAACCGTTTCATTATTAACTGACGTTAATATCAAACATTTCTTGATTTATATGTACTCTGATAAAAAAATATAAGGTATTTTTTAAGGGGTTAGATGTTAAAACAATATTTTTAGTATTTCAATACATGATCATACTTTTTTTTTTTTCAAAAGTGCTTCTAATAAATAAAACCACGTTATATTTACTTAGAATAAAATAACTTATTAAATAAAACACCTTATTAAGAGGGTAATATTCGATTAGAAATACTTCATATTTTTAAATGGAATGAGTATATTATCACATACATGCAAGGACAGAATTAAAAATTTTGTTTCGAGGGCCAAAATAACAAAGTATATATAATAATCAAAAAAAAAAAATTAATCTATATATATCACTACATAACATAAATATTTTAACCTATATATTTATACTCAACAATTTTACATATAATATATATATATATATATATATATTCATTTTTAAAGTTTTGTTCATTAATTTTTCATGGCATAAGAATAATTAATTATCATGTTTATGATAAAATTTTTAAAATTTCCTTCTCAATATAAACTATAATTAAATTGATGAATATTTTATCTTCCCCATAAGTATTAAATAATTTAAATGCATTATTAAAATTTTAAGTTTTATTTAATATAAAAAACTCTATTACTTTTTATTGAATTTATTATTTAATTCTTTCAATTGATATGTTCTTCATTTAATATATTTTGAGATTTTTGTTGCAATGCTTTATGAAGTTTGTTAGTAATGATTCTTATACTTTCTTTTATCAAATATAAAATAAAAATAAAATAAAATAATATCAATACTTTAAGAGCAACCGTAATATCTTGTTAAAAATAAATAAATTTTATGACAATTGTATTTTCAAACTACTACAATAATTGGACAATATATGTGTAAAAGACTACTGTAAAATTGAAATGAAAATTTCATTTAGTATTTCAAGATTTTTTATAATATGTCAACTTAAAAGGTCAAAAATATATAATCCTACATTTAATTAAGAAAAAATTAAAAAGTTAGAAGAGCATAATCCTTGCTAGACCCTACCTCCACCCTATGCACGTGCACGCAACTGATATAAGTGATTTTTATACATAAAAAACTTACTGATTTTAAGAATAATCTCAATCTTACATTGATATAAAATAAAGCAACTTGAGTTGATATTAAATTTAATTGGGAATGTACTAAATTACAATAAATTATATAATTTGGTACTAAAATTCATGTAACATATGAGAAACTCACCCTCCTAAAACAAAAATGCAAATAATACGTTTGCTTGCTTGTTTAACTTAAAACATTTTAAAGCATTCGATGTGATATATAATTCGATGTGTCTAATTTTCTTTTCTAATTTATCTATTTTAATTAATCTCCACTTAACTATTAATTTTTTTTTCTTTCTTCTTTTCCCCAAAAAGGGATATATAGTGCTAAAAGCATACGTTGTCTGCTCGTAAATAAACGCACCAATTTGTATCTATGCAATGGTGTGACTTGGAGAGCTATATACATTCTTTCTCTATACATATTGATTGTGGAGCGCATCAAAGCAGTCGACAAACAAAACCATAAAGTTTCCCTAACTTCTCCTTAATTTTCGGACCTTAATTAGAGCTTAATCACTATTAACTAGTCAACCAATCAAAACTCGCCAAGTCACCCACATGTCTCAAGTTTAAGTCAACCGGATAATAATAATGTCCATGCTGCTTTTGTTTTGCTTCCTATAGCACTGTCTGTCTTATTATAAAACTAAACCCTAAATTCTTACATCTTTTAATGCAAGAAGATCTCCTTCCTAAGATCTTGAAATCTCCCAAAAATCTTTACTCTTAAAAGAACCATCCTTTTTCAACTTTCCCATTTATTTATTGTTAATCTCACATTAATCTATGTTTCGATATCAATGAGTTTGTAATATTAAGATTTCATCTAATCATCAAAAGCTTCAAAACATCATGCTTTTCTCTGGTTTCCAAATAGGACCTATTACAATAATCATGGCAATGCTTTTTAAGGTTTCAAACACAGCATTATTAAGCATATCATTTGCGAGAATAATCAGAAGAAAGTAAATAATAATTGAGAATCAAAGTTATTTACTTTACTTCAAATGGGACCTTTCTCATGTTCTTAGTCTTAAATATGATCATTCACTGAACCACTTAACAGGGGGGGGACCATCAAAACTACATACATACATACACATATATAAGTCATCATCCATAAGAAGAGAAAACAGATAAACTCGTGAAACCATTTTGAAGTTTCCAAGCAATCTGCAATAAATGGTTCAGCTGATGTACAGATGGACTCATTCCCTTTATTTCAGTGATTCTGAATTATCTGAAACTGTTTTTTTCCCTCTTTTGAATTTTATCTTGTTGAGGCTGCTACGTGGGATGTAGGCCTTTTCACTTTTATCATAAAAATTAGAGAATGGCTATTATACTGTGAGAATCAAAGCTGCGAATGTCTGCACAACTTGGGGACTCTAAAATAGGGAAATTTTATTATAAATCAAATAAAGAGAAGATGGGCAGTGGGATATATTCAAGTTGGAGTCCACTAAAGCTATATCTAGCACACACCAGAAAAGGTGTGCAGCTATCTGCTAATAAATTACAATGCTGATTTGATAAATATTGGACTTTGGTTATGCTTAAAAAGATTCCAAAATATGGAAAATAATAATAATATTTAGCCGTTATGTTTCACAAGCATTGGGTTTAAACTTTAAAAGGTTTTTCCTTTTTTTCTTGTCCCTATGCTTAGGAGGAGAGGTCTAGCATTTGTACTTATATGAAGTTTCTCACGAGTATGAACAAACAAAACTTTTCACATAGTGGGGTTTGAGCAATGAGCTAAGTGGCAAGCAAGAAAGCAAGAGAGAGGAAAGTTAGAGTGAAAAGCTCACACGCTTTCTTCTTGTCAATTCTAAATTGGAAATCCAGGTTACTGAGAGCTTAATTGTTATCAACTTATCATCCATCAAAGTAGAGAAATAAGGAGGAAATTCCTAGAAGAAGCATACTTTCGCTTTCCAAACAATCACAAGTTTAATTTATTTTGCTCTGGTTTTCCCTTTTGTCCTATAAAACTTTTTTCTTTTTTATGTCTGAGGCTAATGGGCATCCATCAATCATGCAGAAATTATAAACAAATGATTGTAGGAAAAATATATATATATGCATAAATATTTTCATTTATCGCAAACTGAGGTTATTCTTTCTTGTTTTCAGTAATATTCTTCGGTTGCTGTTTCTGGGGTTTGCTTTATGTTCTGGCCACTGCCCTCAGCATAGATTCCTGTGTGTGTGTGTGTGTGTGTGTGTGTGTGTCTGAGAGAGAGGAGGGGGGGGAGACCTCTCTCCTAGCTGGGAAGCTTGTGAGCGGATGAATGTGCTCTTCTCTGCTAGGATTCCCTCAAAAAGGCTTTCTGCTTTTGTCTCTATCCTTACCTTTCCTTTTCACAGATGCTCTTCTAGGCGGTTTTAGGTGCAGTATCCATACACGCTATTCATACACACAGCTTCCTTATTCACACGTTCTGTATAAAGGGACATCACCATTCTGCATCTTCTTCATTGCAATATTGCAATAACTAGGTGGAGTGCTTCCAAGTTCCAACACTTCGCAACAGGGAAAATGAGCTATGCACATTCTCAAATGGGCTCTGGTTGGTTCTATACTTCACTGTCTTCTACCTGTTTGTGCTATGTCCTGTGTTATACAATCTTTTCCTCTGTTTTTGTGAGCCGCACGGCGGATCTTCTTAAACTGTACAAGCTATCTTTAAAATTCACACATGTAATTGAGTTTTAGCTTTTCTGGCTTGAAAATTGCAGGTAGTAGAACTGCTGGAAGAAGTTTTGAGTTTGGGAAGACACATGTGGTGAGGCCCAAAGGAAAACACCAAGCTACTATTGTTTGGCTGCATGGTCTTGGTGATAATGGTTTGAGGTATGGAACTATGTCTTCACTTTTGTTATATGCCTTCCTCACGTTGCCATGACTATTAGTCACTCATTCTCCTTAACGTTGTTTATTGACGTTCCTGTACTCCTCGGGGTCTATTTATTTCTCAATCATTTGTTTTTGTTGTATTTTGTATTCTTTAATTTGTTATCCTTCGTATTCATGTTCACCATGGTATGTGAGGGATCAAGAAGTTGATAGCTTTGAGATAAGTAAATTCAATTAGTAATATTCGGTTAGAGATGAAAATAAATTTATGCTCTACATCTAGAACTCACTTCTTTTATTCCAATAAAAAAGTTGATTATATTCTTGTTCTTGTTGTGTATTGCCTCTTTCTTTGAATCAAGTACATCACTCGTACATGGATGATAAAACTTTTGTGACTCTGAAAATTTTTTGACAAGTCGTTCCAAACTTGGGCTTCCTTATGCTTAATGATTTGTCTCTTCCTGCTCAGATTCTAGATGGAACAAATCCTGTAGGACAAAGTTGTGGAATATATTGTGAACTGGTATAATATGATTTTAATTGCTGGATGTTCGACTTCTAGGAGCATGCACTAAGTTCTCAGTTGGGGACCACTTGCTCATATGCTTCTCTGCCCCACTGAGAAACTAGGCATGACTTTTTTGCTGAAGAACCTCAGCAACATTTACGTTCCAGAAGTATGCTATTAATTTACTGTGATCACAAAAAACAGATTGAATTTGAACATTTTAGTGTATGGTTTAGTTATGCTGGACAACTTTAACCAGTACACTTGTGGTTTCATGCTAGCTGTCTTCTTTAGAAATAGATCCTTGTAACGTCTCATATAAAACATTCAGAAAAGCTAAAATTGCTTCTTCTTCTTCTTTTGGAATAGTGATGATCTTTTCAAGCGCTTGGTAAATGGCAGAAGATTTACAAGTAGCCTGAGATTCTGATTTTGAGCTTTGTTTCTTTGCAGTTCATCTCAACTGCTGGAATCCCTTCCACTGCCAAACGTAAGAATTTTCATGCCTTGACTTAGTTTGAGCTTGTCTGGCTTGATGATTCTACACAAACATTCTCATCTTCAGCTAATAATATTTTTGACAAGTCTTAGATGCTATCATATGAAGTTTCTTATGATCTGATATGATGCAGATAAAATGGATTTGCCCCACCGCTCCTACGCGTCCCGTGGCAATACTTGGCGGTTTTCCTTGCACTGCATGTAATACCAAACCCTTCTTATCTACCTATTCATATTGCTTAAATCAGCACTATGTAGCTAGTACTTTATCAATGATGAGATGATCAAATCTGTAAGTTTAATATTTATTAGGGTTTGATGTTGGAGAACTCTCAGAGGAAGGTCCAGATGATTGGGAGGGCCTAGATGCCTCAGCTGCACATATTGCCAACTTGTTGTCAACAGAGCCAGCTAATGGTACTTTCTGGGATAACTACTTATCAGTTACCTTCATAGTTTTACATTTTCGCAAAATATATCCTACCTTGTCTATTACCATCTTTCTGTGTAAAGAAATAGGATGGGGAAAAAAGTAATCAAACCACATAGATCAAGTTACATAACCCTTTCAGCCTGTCTCTTATAGGATTCAGATTTGACATCAGTTTTTTGTGACAGTGAAAGTTGGGATTGGAGGCTTCAGCATGGGTGCAGCAACAGCCTTATATTCTGCGACTTGTTTTGCTATGGGAAGGTATTCAAATGGCATTCCATATCCTCTCAACATAAGAGCAATTGTTGGACTAAGTGGCTGGCTTCCAGGATCAAGGTATGATATGGCATTCAGATTGTATGTTCTTTTAGGTTCTTTTTTCTCATCATTTTTTACGACCATCATTAGCCAAATTTTGTCATTAAGTCCATCTTGCTGAACATTGGTTATCATGTAGGAGCTTAAGGAACAGGATTGAAGTGTCACATGAAGCCAGAAGGCGAGCTGCTTCATTGCCCGTTTTTCTGTGCCATGGAAATAGTATGTATCTGCATAATTCTTTTTATCTTGTTCATCTTCATTACAGAGTAGTAAAATTATAACTCAACAAGCCTAAGAGATTCAGTTAGTTGTGAAGTTCCAAAATCCTTCCTACCACCTCATCAATTCAGGCCTAACTTCAATTGACTTTTGCAGATGATGATGTAGTCCTTTATAAATATGGAGAGAAATCAGCCCAATCCCTAAGTTCAGCAGGATTTCAATACATTACATTCAAGTGCTATGAGGGGTAACTCGTCTTCTTTTTCAGAACAAATCATCATCAAATTTGAACTGATCAGTTAAAACAATAGTCTCACTAATTTGGTTTGGCATCTGTGCAGTCTCGGTCATTACACAGTTCCTAGAGAGATGGATGAGGTCTGTAATTGGCTTAACTCGAGGCTTGGGCTCGATGGAACCTCATGAATGGCATGATCTGTATCAGTTGGGACATGGGGGGACAACAAAATGAGAGAGGGAAGAGAGACACATGATAAGCGAGTAGTTAGATTCATCAGTGCAGGAAGGGTTCATGGGTAAATAGGGTATAGGAGATTTAATTTTCTGAATGTGTTTTTGGCGTATTATTCTACCATATTATATTTTTATTGGGTTACCTTGAGACTCAGCTGGTTGTACTATTAGAATGTTCTTTTTTATTTCCTTCAAGTTTTGATTGCTGTAACAATACAGAGGCTTGGCCTCCTTAATCTATGAGGTTACTTTGGTGGGAGTAAATAAAGTTTCTGGCTTATCAAACAGTTCTTCTCTTACCTACCTTTTTAAGCATTTGTTTACTTATATATTGGCTTTGATAATGCTTTGTCATTGGCAATACGTAATTAATGAGGTACAAGAAGATATATGTTAACCCTTTTGAGACTATAAAATCAATACACATTGTAATATAGACTTGTTATTTTAATCTCTAAACTTCAATTTTTTCTATCTCTCTGGTAAGCATTGACTTAAAATGGTCCTAAGATTGTATAACTATCTGTTCTATTTTCAAAATAAAATATGTATAAATCTCTCTTAGAATAAAAATCACTATATTATGATTTTATTTACCTGAATGGGTAGGGTCTCTTGTATGAAATATGTACAAAATCCCTTAAAACAACATTCTCTTGATTAAAATACCGTTGGTGATGGGTTTGACAACTTCACTTTGCATTTCATAATTAGATTTGATCACATGCGTTCAAGAATTTGCTGGGATTAGCATTCTATGATATCCCAAATAGCTCTCTTGAAGCACTAATGATTGATTGTAAGCATATTTTTCAAGTGAAATGAAACAAAGAAGTCCTTGGCAAAGACAAATCTGCAAAGAGGAATTGACACAACTCATACAACAAACAATATTACAACACGGTTGAAACTGAATTGAAAAAGCATTACGACATTACATACGAGGAAACAAAAGAGTTCAACAACAACAACAAAATTAAAAGAAGTAGCTTTTATTTATGAGAGAGTGAAATGTCAGTCTAGTAATTTCTGCGGTTGTAAGTAGGATAGTCTTCATCTTCATCATGGTGGGCCATACCGAATGTGTTCTTGACAGTTTCAGTAGCACTTTGTGCCATGTCCTTCACTCTCTCTCCTGTCTGCTGCAGGAACCCTGCACTGTTGTCCTTCCCAGATTGGGCCGTCTCCCTGGTGGACTGGCCCATCTCTGAGGCCCTCTCATTTGCCGCTCCACCCTTCTCTTGGGCCTTCTCACGAACATTGTGGGCCGCGTTCTGGGCCTTATCCTTTACCGCCTGGGCCGTCCCTGCAGCCTTCTCCTTGGCCTGTTGGCCCTTCTCTCCAATATTGCCCATCGCCTGGTTGGCCTTTTCCTTACCCACACCAACACGCCGAGGTAAGTGTCAGTCACATAATTTAGTTTACAAGCTCTGTTAATAAAGTAAACTCGGAAATAAGTGACAGTTTATGACAAAATTAGAGATTACCTGAGTTCGGCCTTTGGTTTCACCAGCTCTGAAGCTCTGCTCATGGGACGACATTGTTTGGATCTGGAAATGGAACGTGTTTGAATCTGTTTGATATTAGAAGGTCTCTGTTCGGAGGGATCAAGGAGGATTGGTTCTGTCTGTGAGGAGGCTGGAGCTGTGTTGCGGGGCGTACTTATATAGTGTTTCATGGTTTTGTGGGTGACAAACACGTGTCCAGCTTCAAGACACGTTTGAGGACACGTGTCACGCTTGGAGAAGGTGATCCTTCGAAAGGATTTGATTGAGGAAGAAACCTCAACATGTTAGCCACGTCGCATGGCAGACACCAATGGGTGAAAATCTTATCATTATGAGGTGCAATAATATCATTGTACGTGTGTAAGTTAAAATTATTCCATTATTTCAATCCGGCCAGCATAATTGGTGTATTCAAATACACACGCTGTATATAATTCTAATAATAAACCCACGAGTACCCATGCTTAGCTTCTTTTTTATAATAAACAAAAAATATATTAACAATAAAAAATCACAATACAATGTTGGAGTTTCGAAGTCCAAGGTGAAAATTCAAATTCAAAATAAAGAAAATCTCCCTGAAGTAAAAAGACATAAAAAATTAGAAATAAGCTAAGTAAGGAGAACGTGTGCCCATGCTTGGTAGGTAGTTCGTATGAATTACTTTAATTTGTTGATAATTTATAAATTAATGATAGAAGTTATTACATATATATATATAGATTTTTTTTAATAAGTATTATATATATATATATGTAGATAATCCTATCTCTATAATCTATGTATAGATAATCCTATCTCTATAATCTATGTAGAAATATATCATATAACATAAATAAGTTCAGTGGAAATAGTAAAGATGATGTACTGTAACAGAGTTACATTAAGTTGAAAGTGCAAATGCACCCCATCGCTTGCTCTGGGGAATACTAGAAATTTGGTATATAAAATTTAATATTTTACATTCATGTCTACTTTGAAATTTTGAACCACTTTTCTTTGAATTTTAATATTAGTCTTGGTTCTATCACTAGATGTATAAAGTGATCAGTGTGTATGAACAAGAGAGATAATGCTTATGGAGAGGAGATGGGAAGATCATAAACGAAGCAAATTTAAATTTGAATTTCTTTTGGTGAAAAAGTAGGATAATGCTTGTAATTGTTTGGATTTTTTAAAAAATAAATTAATTTTTGAAAATTGTGAAAAAGAAAAGAAATAATTCAAGTTGTAGCGCCTATCTGAATAAGCAAACCTAAAACTCAAGGTGTTAGAAATAGATTTGATGTTAAAGATTTTTTTTTAAAGTTTGCCCAAATTAAACCTATTCAAATCATGAACTACTAAGTACTAATACGCTAGTTAAAAGTTAAAACAAGAAAAATATAAAAACGAATATATTGAATAGGAAATAAAGTAACAAATAATTCATTTGGACTTTGGTGCCCTATTAAAGGACCAAAATTCTCACCAAACGTTTTATTTTATAAATAAGACTCAAGTACACATTTTCAAAAGTTTTATGTCCCAGTTTATATGCATTTTATTTCATAAAATGTTAAAAATAATTGATGTGTTCATCTCAAAAATTCTTTTAACAACTAAAAGACTACCTGATTCTATTCTGTTGATTTTATTTGTCCCTCAACAACGATATTTAGTTAAGACTTGAATTGAATATATTTAAAAATTTTAAAATATTGTAAAAATACTAACTAATTGTAGTGGCACGTGTGAGGCAGGTAAAACAAGGGAATAACTGTTTACCCGCCGCACAGGTGGTGTTACTACTTAATAGTCACTACAAATCGCGTGTTTTTTGACCATTGCCTACAAATTGCGTGTTACTGTTATTGTCACTGTTCAAAGAAATTATAGACGATCGAGAAAAATATAGAAAATAGAGTAGAATAATCATCGCCCGGAAAGGAGCCGTAAGTGGCCTGTTTACGGACTGCTGGGGTTTCTCCGACGTGTTTCAGGCTCAGTCTTGGTGTCGCTTCTTCGGAGAAAAAGGAACAGATATCGAAAATGTCTCTCACCGGCGTGAAAATGTCGGAAGACGTTTGGTTAACTTGTGTTACTCATGCATTGTCCACTGAGACTGAAGAGATCATGGGCCTTCTCCTGGGCGATATCGAGGTCATTCATGTTTCAATTTCCACTATTTTCTTTGATCGGTAATCATTTTGAGCTCAATGGGCATTGATCTATGCATCAATTTTTCGATGCTTCTTAGTGGCTTTTGGGTATTTCTTGTTGGGGGTATTGGGATTCGCTTGTTCTCTTGAATTTAAACTTCAAACTCTGATAGAAATGTTCGTTTTAGGGGGGATTAGCGTTTTTTTTTTTTTGGGCATTTCTAGGTGGGGAAATAGAAGTAGTTTCTTTTGTTCATTTTTCGTTCAATGAAGTGAAATAGAGGGTAATTTTTAGCGAGTTAAGTTCAATGTTTCGAGAAGACTAATATCAAATGGAGCTCTAGAAGATTTAATAGGAGTTTGCTCCTGACTCAAGTGGGTTAGTAAGATATATGCTGTGGAACCGAAGGCCGGAAGGGTTCTTACAGTTACTCTAATTTAATGAGATGGAGTTCATTTTTTATTCCCGATCATCTATCTGACTTCCCATGAGCCAGATGTTTGCTTGCATTATGGATATGGATTATAACTTTGCCATTTCTAGGACATTGAAAAGTCTGATACCAAGGAAGAAGCATAAGATATTAGTTTGTCTAACATTTTTCTTCACGGCACACAAAGTTGTGATTTGTACACCCTTCACGTCCAATATAATAATAATAATAATAATATGCATGAGCTTGATTCTTGAAGATATCCTTCAGTTTTCTCTTATGATGCCGATGTCTCTCAAGATCTACTGTATATGCATTTTTGCTTTTCTTTCTAAGCGCCATACTCAAGCCATCCATATCTCTCTTTAACAGACTTCTATTACCTTGCTTCTTCTCTCAAACATGTGATAAGCATGTTGATTCACGAGTTTTTGTGAATCATAAATCATTAATCATCGTGGTAAACCCAATGCTTTCCTACAGTGCACCCCTAATCATGTTATTAAGATCTACTATATGCTTAAAGTAAGTGATCAGCCTGTGGTCACTTTTGTCTCTATTCATTTTCTAGCATTTTCAAGTTGGGGGTATTGCTCCTTTGGCAATTTGATTGTTCTTGTTGATCCGTTTTCATTAGCTAGAGCTCCTTTTTTTTTGGGTATGTTTTTGTTGTTTTTTTTAATATATGAAGTGCTAATAATAGCATTAAATCATTTTTCTTAAGAACAACAGAGTATTCTGCTCATTGACGTAATGCCTGATACCTTTGAATTATTACTGAATGATGACAAGGAGGGAGCACAGTCATTATGACTTGTGAGACAGTTGCATTCTTGATATATCTGTTCAATAACAATGAATTTATATAATTATTTCTTGTGTCTAGTTACTTGAAGGTCTGAACCTAGTGTATATCTTTCTCATCTGTGCAAATATGTTACTGCTTCATCAATCTTTGGTTTGCACAAATTGAGTAAGCCTTGAAGATTTATTTGAAGTAACGGGATTGATTAGTTCTCTTTTTGTACCCAGTAACTTTCCTGTTTACCAGTATTTTTTTTCTGCCTGTGTTTTAATTTATAGTTTTGTGGATCCAGCATTCAAAAAATGGGAATGTGACAGCGTTAATATGGGGAGCATCTCCACAAACAAGGTCTGATCGACGAAAGGACCGAGTAGAGACTAACCCTGAACAGTTGGCTGCTGCATCTGCTCTAGCTGAGATATCCTGATTCATACCTGTTATTTATGTGCATATTTTAGTTAATTTCAATTTGGTTTTAATTTCCACATTTTGTCATCCTGAGACTGTTGCTTTTATTCTTTGTCCATCCTGACAATTCAATTAGCTTTAAAAAATCTCACTCCAGTGACCTTTCAACTTTCTGATGATCATGAATGGCAATCCCTTCTTGGTTGGTTTTTTTTTTTAAAAAAAAAAAATTTAAGTTTTCTGGTTTGTTGTATCATTAACTTTATCACACAGAATGACCATATCAACTGGTAGAACAACGAGGGTGATTGGTTGGTACCATTCACATCCTCATATCACGGTTCTTCCTTCCCATGTTGGTAAGTGCTGGGCGATCAAACTACTTCATATTCCTCTCTTTTCATCAATTTGATAAATCTTCAATAGTCGTGAAGATCATCAACATCTAATGGACATAATTAACTCACAAGGATTTTGAGATTACGTTGTTCATGTTTCATACTTCATGATATGCCATTGAGCACAATTTTAACCCAAGTACGGAATGACAATTTTGTTTAAGTGGTAAGATGTGATTAATCTGTTTTAACAGAGATTGGGTGACAATTTTAGACATGAAGGGGCACATGTAACTTAAGCACTGCATGCTTGCCATATTTTTGGAATCGTATTATTTTCTATTTTAAGTTGAACTGAAGAATTAAGTTTATAGTTAGCATAATTACTAGCATGAGCATGCGACACAAATCAGAATTACATTTGATTTCTTTATGGATAAGTATGACTGTGTGACTTTTAGTTGTACATACAAGTAGAGTGATGAAAAAATTCTATCACCAGGCAAGATATTGAAGTCAAGTGGAGGGTTACATCAACAATCGATGTAAAAAGGATACAAAGACAATATATATGCCATTTACATTTCTAATCCTTTCCCTTCTCATTTGTAATATTTACCAGAGGTTACTATTGCCTTCTAAGGAACTTCTTTCTTTTTATTTTTTCCCTTACTGCCTATATTATTTTTGTGCACAAAGACAATGTGTATCTTGTCTTCACTATTGCAGATGTGCGAACTCAGGCGATGTATCAACTTCTTGATTCTGGGTTTATTGGATTGATATTTTCTTGTTACAGTGAAGATGCAAGCAAGGTTTGTCTTGAATGCGTGATTACTGTGAAGCATCTTTCATGCTATAATTATTCATTAAATCTAACGTGAAGTAAATTTCAACATGCTATATTTATTCATTAAATCTAACGTGAAGTAAATTTCAACTGTACATAGGTTGGAAGAATTCAAGTAATTGCTTTCCAGTCATCTGACGGGAAGCAGAGTCAAATTTCAAGG